AGCTCTGCCGGCATCGCTCCCGGGAGGCATCTCCCACCGCCGGGCTGCCCACGGGTCCGGTCCGACCCTGGGCGCAGCGCTGCTGGCTCCGCACCCGGTGCTGGCTGTCCCCGGGAACGTGCCGCTGCACGGACAGGACAAACAGGAGCGCCAGGCTTCGAGTAAGTGATTGCTCTTTCTGTGGAGGTGCCCATTTCTGAACGGGGCTTTAATCAAAAGTGAAGCCAGGTAACTTATAAATGATGCAGAACCATTAGCGATTAGTGCACTGGGCAGGGCTGAGCTCTGGCATCCTTTCCCGGAGAGCCCAGCAGGCAGTTGGAGCATCTTGACTTTATAGGAACATTTTTAATAGTGATCTTCAGACAATGCATATTTTGGAACCTTTGTGCTTGCAGATCTTTATGACTCTGGCATGAAACTGCTCTGACCTCAGCTGCAGACCAGACTGGGGAATGTTAGAGGCTTTCAGTCGTGTGAACTATTCTTTACAGGTCTTTGTTGTAGCAACTTTCAGTGAGGTCTCATCTTGCGCATCCTTGGGATTAAACATTGCCCCATGTTTCTAGGGTGAACTTCTCTAGTTTCAACTCCTGAAATGTCTTGACTCTTCCTGCTGGGCATACAAATGCCAGGCGCTCAGAAGTATCTTTTCTGCAATTTGCTGAACTGCAAACTGACTAAGGGATGCTCATTTTTCCAGTGAAGAACTGCAGCCTAGACACCCTTGGGTCTCACTTGGGTTCAGCTCTGCTTGCCTGGACACTGCACAAAGCGTGTTTGTGATGCTGGAGGTCTGGAGCACTGAGAAGCCGTACGCTCTGTGGCTCCTGGGGCCTCTCGCCCTCCCTTCTCTCCATTTGGAACATTTGGGGCTTGATTCTGCATGTCCTGGCTTTGAGTGTACTGTCTTTGTCGTTTGGTACTGGAGTGATGCCTGCCTGGGATGCCCTTGTGCTGCCAGTGAGTGAAGGTCCCTGTACAGGCCCTGTGTGAGCTCTGGCTACATACAGCTCCAGTAATACTGCCAGATCCTGCAGCGTGGTTTGTCATAGCTTATTCCCAAATCACAGACCGATTGGGCCCCAGGGCCATGTCTCAGCATCTCCAGCCCAAAAACTTGGGCTGGGCCAGGCTGGGCTCCCTGCGGAAGCCTAGAAAATTCTTATGCAGAGCAAGGAGCCTGCTACAAATTCCATCCAGACTTTGCGTTGCAGAGGTGTCAGACCCTGCCTTTAATTTCCTCATGTACAGGTAATGGTTGCGAAGTCCAGCTGCTCCCTTTGGACGTGTTCAGACCTCTTCTCATTCTCCTGGGTGTAAAAAGCTGTCTGATTTATTGCTGTACATGCATTCTGTGCAGCACCAGGTCCTGTTCTTGTCCTGAGATGAGCTGACAGGGTCTGGTCACATCTGTAGCACTAAGCTCATGAGTTCCAAGGAGGGGAGCACATCGGTGCTACCCACTGGGGTGGTGCATGGCTCGTGCTGGTACCTGAGCCCTGCCCAGGTGTGGTTTGGGCACACTCTGGCTGGTTCAGATCAACACGGTTCCCAGGACCAGGCTCCACCACTGGATTCCTGGGCTGTTCCTGATGTTGTTACATTTGCTAGCGTGGTGGTAGCCTTGGAAAACTGTTCTTCTTAGCCTGAAGGCTAGCAGAAACAATTGCAGCCCCCAACACACACTTTGAAGTGACTCTGTGCGAGGGAGCAGTTGCTCGCTGGCTGGCAGGGTGCTGTCTACAGCTCAACTCTTGGTTGTGCTGCTGACTTGCGCGCTGGCCGTGGCAGGAGCAGAAAACCAGACCAGCTCCGTGGTGACACACGCCCCAGTCAGCGCCCAGCTCTGGGCACCACAGCTTTATTCAGCCTGTTCTGCTGGTTCCTTGTGGGCAACCAGTATGTGCAGATCAGGACATGGCTCAGAGAGTCCCTCTTGCAGGGTGGAGTGAGGAACAGGATTCCCACTGGCAGAACTGCTAAGGAGAAGAGCTTTTTGTGGGGTAAGGGATGTTCAAGTGTATCTTTCAATCCTCTCCAGTTTTCCAGCCTCCTGTTCCAAAAGAGAAGGCACAGCATCCTGTCATGTCCTTGGTCGTGTTGTCTCCGGTGATCTGTCAGGCGTCTGCGGGGCACATGCTCAGCCCCAGAGTCTCTGAGAACGAGTTCTCAGGGCTCTGTGGGTGACCCTCCCATCTGCCTTAACTGCCAGTGGCAGACCACAGCTCCTCTGCATTCCTCAGGGTGGGAACCACAGCCTGTTCCTGGTTTGAGCCGAAGCTGGGTATATTCAAATGTGAATGAATGTATTTAGATAGCTAACCTGCAGAAATTGCTCTTCTTTGTCACTCTAACTGTGGCTGGTGGTGGTACGGCTGCCTTTTCTCTTGTTCTCAGGTGCCCTCTGAGGCTCTTTTTCCATCTGTATAAATCACGACATTGAACTTGTGCTACACAAGCAGCTTGTAGGAGGAGGACACAGTCATGTTTACAGGAAGAGAGGATGCACGAACAGCAGCCTCAGTGCTTTCTTCATGCACCCCTGTGTCTAATTTCCAGACAAAATTTGGCTTTGTATGCAGGCCTGCGTGCCTGTGTAGGATCATGGCACGCTCTTACTGCTATGATATCTCAAAATGCTGATGGTGCAGGCCGTGGGTCAATCAGGCCAGCTTTCTGAAGGATAGCAATGGCTGAGCACTGCTGCCAGCTTTGCAGCTGATGGCATTGCACTGCTGGGAAATCAGTTCTGCATTGGGTTTTCCTCCCCACTCTAGAGCGAGGAGTAATGCCAGGCAGATGAGATGGCCAGATTGAATTGCACAGTGTGTTTATTCCAAGCTGCCCCATTTTTCTGTCACAGTTGATATATAAATACTGTGTCTGGGCTGCTTCCTACGCAGTTCTGGGTGATGCGCCAGGCATTTGTGATGTGCACATCCACGGGGCAGCCCCAGAGCTCAGAGGAGCCTGATTCTACCATCACAGTGTTGGTTCAAGAATTGCATTAATGTAGGATTTGTCTGGTCCTTCTGGACCTTACAGAAATGTGGGACTTCCCTGCCGAGAATCTACGCTGTGCCCAGGCTGAGCAGGAGCATGTCTTGCCAGGCAACCCTGCACCTGCTAGTGCTGGAGCTGAATGAAGTAAACTTTCCAACAGACAAACATCTGAGCAGCAGTGAAGGTGCCTCAGACCTGCAAGGAGATGCCCTCATGAAGAACTGGTCTGAATATCATTCCCCTCTCTGATCACAAGGTCCCTGTGGTGCTCAGATGAGCTGCAGGGACTTTCCTTTTCATATAATTTGAGCTGCAAGGCTTGTTAGGTTGCTGTGACACTCTTTAATTCTTTTTTTTTCTCGGGACAGGCCTTCGTGCATTTCCCATTTTGATGTCTGCAAAGTGGAAGAGGCCCTGCATGTCTGTAGCTGGGTCTGGCAGTGGTCAGCACTGTTAGTCCCTTTCACGTGGAACATGTGTTGGGAGCAATGGGCTGTGCCTGCTGCTGTGAGCAAGCGCTTTAGAGAAGAGCCAGTCAGGTTCCTTGGCCAGCCCATCCTCCTTGCCCACTGTAGGACACTACAGAGGGTGAGGGGTGCAGCGAGCACGCTCCTCGCCAGCAGCCGGGCAGGGGGCACTCCTGGCCCCTGAGCGAAGCCAGTGGGTGCCATGGAGCGGCAGCTGCCCC